CTGGAGACGGGGAGTCCCCCTCGGCCGCCCTGCCATCGGTCCACAGACAGCCCCTCCGGAGAACAGGTTGCATCCGGCCAACAGCGGAGGTCACGGCTTCACAACACAGACATCTAGATACAAATAGAACATGTCTGCCTCGTCTTTCACTTTCAGCAAGGAAGGAGCCAGGGCATGGAGACCGGCAGACAGAGTTTATCTCAGGAGGTATCTGGGCTGTCGCTGCAGAGTGAGCCACCAGGAGGTGACAGGTCTGACCAGGAGCAGAAAGGGCTCCTGCCTTTGCCTGAGCAGAAGCAGACCTGTGGCCCCCGCGCCCATCTTCATCTGAATGCGGATTCCAGACCCAGGAGGCGCACAGAGCTGCTCTGCTTGGGGAAGGAAGGCTTCCTTTGCCCTAAGAAGTATGGACCCTGGGGAAGCGGGGGGAGGAACCAGCCAGGGATGCTGTACCGGGGAGGCACGCCTCCACGCGCCCCCGCACCCGTCCTGCACCTCCCAGGGCTGCCCACACCTGAGCTGGCGAGAGCGGTGCTAAGGGCATGGGCGGCTAAGACTCCTTGGCTGATGTTCCGGACCCTGAGCCAGCCAGCCATGAGGGTCACCCAGCTCTTCCCCAAATGAGGGCAGGCGAGCCAGGGGGGGGGCCTAGTGCCTGCCTCTTCTCTCCTGCCCCCTCCAAGGGCCAGTCTCAAGGGTTGTCCTGACTGGCTCACCACCAAGGAGAGCAGACTGCCCCCCCTCCAATCCCCAGCGCTGCCCCCCGCCCCGGATCCCCAGGGCTATCAGAGACTCTGGAGAAACACAGGGAAGGGAGGGAAGTGTGCTCTCCCACCAGGACCTCTGGTCCTTCTCTAGGTGCCTGGGGCCTGCCCCCAGACCTCCTCCAAGGTCCTCAAACTTCACAACAATCCCAGCACCTGTTCCCTTTGCCTCTCTGCACCTGCGCCCCTCAAATCCCCCATCTTCTCCCAGCTTTCTTCAGTTCCTTGGGTAAACCAAACCCCAGCTCCCTGCCTCCTCCCCACCCTCCTCTCCCAAGAGATCATTCAAACCCCGCCCCACAGAGCCCCCAAATGTGCCTGTCCCCCACCCCGAAGTTTCCCTTGGGTCTCCTCCGAGTCCCCATCAGAAAGCCCAGCCTCCTTCCTTCCCAAATTCGCGGCGGGCTTTCCCCAGGTGTCCCCTATCCTCCCAGCTCCCCACCCGGGCGCCCCCAAATGGCTACCAGGGCTCCTCCGGCCTCCCGGGGGGCTGTTTCCAGCGCGGTCCCTCCCCGCCCCTGGCCCCAGGGCCCAGGCCATCACTCCCCAGGCCCCCGGGGTCCCGGGCGACAGTTGAGGGCCAGTGGCGCGCGCCCTCACCTTGGTTCACCAGCCGCAGGGCGTGCGTGAACGAAGGGTCCAGCGAGTCCTTCTCGGCCATCAGCTCCGGCAGGTACTTCTCCTCCATGCTCGCCGGCCGCCCGGCCCGGGACCCGGACTCGAGGCGGGCGGGCAGCCGCTGCCCCGCAACCCCCGACCGCGCCCGCGCCCCAGCGGCGCGGAACCCGGACGCGGCCGAGCCCAGCCGGGCAGTCAGCCCCGCGGCGGCGGCGGGCGCGCAGCTCCGGTCCCGGGGGGGCCGCCCGCCGAGTGCCCCGCGCCGGCCGCCGCTCCTCCCGGACGCGGACCGCGCTCCCGCACCTGGCGCTGGGGGAGCGGGCGCGGGCCGGCGCGATCGGGGGACCCTGGGGACGGCGGGCGGCGGCGCGCTCGGCAAGCCCCGGTTGTCCCGGGCGACCCCCAGCCGCCGGCGCCCGCTCCGCCGCGACCCGCACTCCGCGCGCCGCCCGAGCTCTGAGCCGCCGGCCGAGCGCCCGCCCGCCCCGCCCCGCCCCGCCCCGCGCCTGCGCGCTGCTCCCGCGCCCCGCGTCCCGCGCCCCGGGCCCCGCGCTCCCAGCTCCGCCGCCGCTGCCGGGGTGGGGCCGCCCGGGCAGTGCTGCGGGGCCGCCGGGAGGGGCACCGTGGGCTCCCCCCGCCAGCCCCGCCCCCTCCCCAGCCCTGGGGGCGCTGCCAGTCGCGGTCACAGCCTTGCCAGGCGCGGGGACCCAGAAACTGAGGCCCAGAGAGGTCAAGCGGTTGGGCCAAGGTCACCCAGTGAGCCCTCCCGGAGAGAGCGGCGCGCTCGGCGCCCCGGGGCAGGGCCAGGCCCGGAGAGAGGACCGGGAGGGGGCCGGCTCGCCCCAGCGGGTTCTGGGGAAAGGCCACCTAGCAGGCTCCCTGCGCAGGCTCCAGGACTTGCCCAACTTATTTCACTTTGCTGCCCGCTCCTTCCGGCAAGGGAAAACCGCGGGCTCAGCCACTCCTAGGCGCCTAGCTCTGCGCGTCCATCCCCAGACCCTGGGCGCCCAGGCCCATTGCATACAGCGCACGCCCTTCAGGGCGTCTTTGTCACCCAGAGTCACCACCGGGTGGTCATTCTCTGCCCAGAAGCCTGCTGTGCCTGGATGCAGAGGAGGCACTCGCGCTGGTGCCAGACCCCAGTGGGGAGAGCGCCCTGGGTGCACATGGGCGCCTATGTCCTCTGTCCCCTCAGCCCCGCCCCCGCCCCAACCCCCACCGCCCCCCCCCCCAAACCATTTTCCAGATGTTTTTCTGAGCTTGTGGAATAACCATCCCCCAGCAACAGGCCAAGGACTCCGGTCTGCTCTGCCCCCCCTCCCCTCCCCAAACCCCACATCAAGTCCTGGCCTCCATACCACCTTCCCTGGACAGCCTTCCAAGAGCCCCTTCCCACTCCCTGCAACGCTTGTCCCTGCTGTGTCCCCACCCACCCCATCCCCCCCTGTCACCCCCAGTGCTGCTCCGCCCTCACTCAGAAGGCTGGGATTCTGTTTTCATCAGACCACGGGCATCTCGTGGGCAGGGCTAGGTTTTGTTTTGGGGGGAAGATCCCCAGCGCCGCTGCACTGGGGCAGTTGCGGGGGCACCTGAGATGTTTGTGGAAAGGGTAAGCCAGTAGCACGCCACTCCCCTGGCCAGGCTGAATCCTCCTCCCGGGCCCCAGGCAACCCCCGTGGGCAGGATGCAAACAGACCACAGAGGCTGAGAGTGGGGATCAGGGAGCTCTGAGCTGCTCTGAGTCCCAGCCCCCAGTCCCCACCGTCTCCGTCTCTGCTCTCAAAGCCCCATCCCCTGCTGCACCCCTAGACTGACCTCCCGCCTCAGGGGCCATGTGGGAGCCCCCGGAAGAAGTTCTTCCAGGGCTCTCTTTGGGCCCAGCATTCAAGAGGAGGTCAAATGAGAACATTAACTGTATGGCCCTGGGCCCGGCAGCCTGGGTGTGGAAGGGACCCTGCTGCTCAGGCCGCGATGCATCCCGGGGAGTCACTCTCTGGGCCCAGCTTCCTCATCTGTAAAGTGAGGGAACAGGGCCTGTTCCATAAGAGAGTCAGCCGTGAGGACTGGCCCTGTCTACTCACAATGAGATCCCCGTCAGCCTCCAGCACGGAGGTCAGGCTTGGTGGGCTTTGTTGGTTTTTCCCCTGCGGGGCTGGACTCCCAACCCTCCCTTCCCCTCAGCTGTCGCTCCGCCCCACCCTCACCCTGCCACACGCCCCCAGGGGTCCCCACCGCTGGATAGTCCACACTGCTGAGTGAAGGGCCTGGGAGAAGATGGTTCTGCCTATCACCTGGGGCCCAGGGTGGGGCTGCCAGACCCCGGCGTTGGTGGCTCCAGTCCCCGCTCCCCCCTGACCCCCTGCAGCCTCAGCCCATTCCGCTGTGAGCTGAGCTTCCAGACACATCTGCAAACCCTGGTCGTGCCGTAGTCCCGGTGGGCAGCGGGATGGACTGTGGGGCAGTGTTTCGCATGCACATACCTCTGGCTTCCATTCCTCCATCACAGGACTTGCACTCTAGGGCTTGAGTCCTGGACAGCCACTTGCAAACGGAGGGCGGGAGAAGGGCAGTGGCTGGGACAAGGAGGAGCCCCAGGAGAGGGGCACGGGACCTGAGGCCGGCTGCTCCCTCACCATGTGGTCTCTCACTCTCCTTTCCCTTAGCACTTGTGTCCCAGAGGCAGCCCAGACTGAGTGATCGCCGTTTTTATTGAGCGTCTACTAGGTGCCAGGCCCCATGCCAGCGGCTCTACACTCACTGCTCTCCGTGCCCTCCACACCCTGTAGAGGAGATACTACTCATCACCACTTACCAGTGCGGAGGCTGGGCCCAGAGCAGGCAGACGCTCTACCCGTGTCCCACCGCTGTCCATGAGGGACCCCACGCCCAGGGGCCCTGCAGCACCCTCTCCCTCCTTCCCTGTGTCACCCTCCCTCCCGGTAGCAGCCCCAGACACTCCTGACTGGCTTGTCCCTCCCTCCTGCATCAGAACAGTTGGCAGAGGTGCCCACCGGCAGCTGGGGAGGAGGGCTGCACACCAGGAAGCCGCCAGCAAGGGCACTGAATCTTCCCTCGGACCCTCCTCCTCGCAGAACCTTCCAAGAGGGCAGGTGCCCAGCACTGTGAGTGCCCGTGTGGGGTCCTCCAGGGAGGACAGAGATGGATGTCTCTGTGAGATGCTCAGGAAATTGTCCCCACCTTCCCACCTGCTGAGCTGCTGGCTGGGGGGGGGGGGGAGGGCGGGGAAGGGGGGTGGCGGCTCCTCTAGGCCTTACTGCAGAGTCTGCTGGCCTTCAGGAGATGGCCATCCTGTGGGCTCTAGCCCTCTGGTCCCTTTGAAGATGGGAAAGTCGGGTTGGAGAAAAGTGGTCGTTTTTCTGCAAGTAGGTCTCCAACTCCAGTCCCTGAGCAGGGAAGAGGCAACACCTACCACCCCCAAGGGCCCTTGCACGGTTTACACTGAAGCGCTGAGTTCATCCTGGGCACCACGGGACTGCACGTAACGCATCCGACGCTCCCTCCTCGCCCTCTGCTGGCATCGTTTATGCTCCCTCCACACTTACCCCGGCGCTGGGCAGCAGGTGCCCTGCCTCCAGGATGTCCTCAGCGCCCGCTCACCTCCACGCCCAGGTCTGTGCTGGGCAGGCGGTCGGTCCGTGGCAAGCTCTCAACTCTCCTTGCGTCCCTCTGTCCCGAAGGCAGTCTCCTCGCAGCACGGCTTCCCGGCTCTCTGAGACAAATGAGTTTGTCATGTAAGACAAGCACCCAAAGATGGCTTGGCCTCGCCTGCAAATCAGTCATCCCTGTGCCGGGAGACACCAAGGATGCTCGCTCAGAGCCCAGGCCCCTGCCAGTTACCGTGGGGAATGCATTGCCCGCCTCCAGCGTGATTGGAAAGGCCTGACGCGTACAGGGAGCAGGGCCCGGGAAACCTCCAAGCGGGGCCTCGGAGGACCAGGGGCCTGTCTGTGGTCCTCTTCTATTCACTCAACCCACCTCCCCAACCCTCCTGCGTTCAGCGAAATGCAGCTGGAAGGGACCGCCCAGATCAGCTAGGTCCCAGGTCACTCGCTTAGAGGTGAGGACACTTGCTCAGAACATCTAAGTGTCCTAAAGGTTAATGAGACCATTGCACACAGGGCACACTCCACCCACGTCTACGTATGGGTGAAGTCGGACCCTGCAGCCCGGGCACATATACCTCAAGACACCTGCCTGTCTGCACCCATGTTCCCTCCACGTCTGTTCCCTCCTCACACTATATGGCCGAGGGAAACCCCAAGACCTTCTAACCCCCCCTCTTCCTTCCCTAGGAAGGGAGCCCTCCTGGTCCCAGCAGCTCCTAAAACCACAGCTATTGCGCACGCACCCCCTCGTGGCCAAGTGTGGAAGTGCATGCCCCCAAAAGTTCCTGTGGAACCAGATTGATAACCCTTGGGTTGGACCTGGTCCCTCGGCCTTGGCGCCTCTCTCAAAGCCTAAGCCTGAAGCCCAGGCCGCCGTGGCTGTGAGTGGCGGCCCTGGAGACAGAATGTGTGGGCTCCGAGCCCAGCTCTGCCATTTTAAACCCTGTGTTCTTGGACTGAGGACTTAAGCTCTTCGTGTCTCCGATTTCTCATCCGCCCGATGAAGGAAAATTGTCCCCACGATGTAAGGTTGTTGTGAGAATTAAATGAGCGACTACATGAACAGGGATTACGCCCTGTTTCCAGCACCGAGACCCAGGCTGCGCGCTCAATACACAGTGAACTCCCTCCAGGGGGAGATCAGCACCGGCAGGGTGGACAGCGCCCTCCCTGGCCTCAGCCAGAAGGGGAGGAATTCCTATGTGGGGGCTCATGAGTGGTGGCTCCCTGTCCTTTGGGGGGAGGGGAGGAGGAAAATCAGCACAGAAGCCAGCACCCCAGAAATCCCTGGGCTCGGATCAGCTACAGGATTGCTTACAACGGTGGCTAAGATCATAACCTACGGAGCCAGCTTCTCTCTGGCTGTGGAGCCTTGAGCTAGTCACTGAACAGCTCTGTGCTTCCGTTTCCTCGCTTGTAAAAACGGGATTCTAGTGGCACCTGTATCACTGAGCTGTTCTGGGGACAGCTCTACCTTTCCAAGGGTCTGGAATTGTGCCTCCCCTCCCTCCCCTCCTTTCTCCCTTCTTCCCTTCTCTCCGTCATTCCTCCTTGTCCAGCTGGCTAGATAAACAAATGACTCATCGCTCTGTGGCCGTGAGTGTGTGGAAAGTCTTCCCATGTAATCAGTTGAAAAGTACATCTTAATCTGCCTACAGAAGCCCCCTGCCCCAGTTCATAGCCAGCTCATTGACTGGGCTGGTCTGTCCTGAGATGGGTGGTTTCCCAGACGAAAGGGAAAGGAAGCTGGTTTGGAGAACCAGTCTCAGCGCTTAGGAAAACACGCCTATAGCTGCGATCTAGAGGATTATCTACAGATATGGTCGGAGAAGGCTTAGGGGGGTGGAGGGGGCTGCAAATACAGGCACTCTTTCCCTGTGCTCATGAGAAGCATCCAGTTTCCGGGGTGTAGCAACTGAGAGTGTGAAAAAGAGTGTTAACTTACTTAATAGTTTGTTACATATCAAGTCTAAAGAGCCAATTATGTAAAAAAAAAAATGTAACGCATCCATTTCAATAACATTAAAATCTATGTAAGCCAAAAAAAAGCATTGGTTGTGTTATATTTTTTTTTATTATTGTAACTTGTATTCGAGAAACTAAAGTTCCACTCTCTCCCTCCATGATGGTCAGACCATTTTTCAGCAAGTCACTCATTTCTCCATTGAGTGCACCATCAAGTACCATGTGCCTTCTTCATCCATTTCTCCATTCAGCACACACCCTCCATCGAGTACCATGTAGGGAGCACGCCATGGAGTACCATGTGCCTTCATCCATTTCTCCATTCAGCACACGCCCTCCATCGAGTACCATGTGGGGAGCACGCCATGGAGTACCATGTGCCTTCATCCATTTCTCCATTCAGCACACGCCCTCCATCGAGTACCATGTAGGGAGCACACCATGTAGTACCATGTGCCTTCATTCATTTCTCCATTCAGCACACGTCATCGAGTACCATGTGGGGAGCACGCCATGGAGTACCATGTGCCTTCATCCATTTCTCCATTCAGCACACGCCCTCCATCGAGTACCATGTAGGGAGCACACCATGGAGTACCATGTGCCTTCATTCATTTCTCCATTCAGCACACGTCATCGAGTACCATGTGGGGAGCACGCCATGGAGTACCATGTGCCTTCATCCATTTCTCCATTCAGCACACACCATCCATCGAGTACCATGTGGGGAGCACGCCATGGAGTACCATGTGCCTTCATCCATTTCTCCATTCAGCACACGCCCTCCATCGAGTACCATGTGGGGAGCACACCATGGAGTACCATGTGCCTTCATCCATTTCTCCATTCAGCACACACCCTCCATCGAGTACCATGTGGGGAACATGCCATTGAGCACCCTGTGCAGGACTGGGCAGCTACAGCAGGATGGCTACATCCTCACTGAGCCCTGGTCCCACTCCTCCCCTGGGGGAGACAGATAGTAACACCAACATGGAAATTACAAATGGCGGTGCACACTGTGAAGGAAGAAGGGTGAGCAACCCACTGAAATCAGGGGTCAGGAGACTCGCAGCGAGAGGGAGTCACTCTGTCCCGAGTCCCCGTGTGCAGACGGGGAGATGGAGTCCCAGGGTGGGAGACAGATGGCGTTCCAAAGCCCCAGCTTTTGCCACTCGCTCAATGTGTTACTTGCTTAACTGCGTCATCGTCACAAACACGGGCTGAGCTCGGTTATTTCTAAGGTCTTTCTACCTCTAACAGTCCGTTAGCTCATTCAGTTAAATCACTCAAATAGGCACCCTTTGAATATGTCTGTTTTTCCAATTCTGTTATGAATCATTGATGAAAACCAATTGTAATAATTCCATTGGGGGAATTATTTTATCCCCATCCCCCCCCCCCTTTAAAATGTTGTCTCGTTATTTCTGAACACGACTGTTTTTCTTACATAACATAATTTCTCTCTGAAATGGAGCTACGTGTTAACACGTACAGACACAAAACGATTGATTGCAGGCCTGAGAGGGGAAGGGGTAGTCGGGCCAGATGATCCCTGCTTGTTCTAATAGCCATGTAATCAGAATCTACACCCAGAAGACATTTTCTGAAATCGTCTAAAATAACCTATGTTTCATTAGATGGCAGTGTCAACAGAACACAGTCTTGTCACAGAATATGTTCTCTGCAATCTGCAATTAATTAAGCAAAGGGACAAATTGTACTTAAAGGTCTGTTGAAAGGATATCAACACCATTATTTTTCTAATACAAAGTGCTTTTCCCATGATGCATGTGACCCCTCTGTTTCCCCCTCTGGAGTACTTGATTGCAAAGAAATTCTTAAAATAGGCAGAGCCCTCATCACAGAGCATTCGTAATCTCTGGAATGTGTCTCCGGTCCCTGAATTCCATCCACCTCCTTTCGCTGACTGCTCTGAGATTGCGCCCGTGTGGTGTCACGCTGTCTGGCAAAGGCTTTGTGCTAAGTTGAGCAGCTCACCTCTTTCTTCTTCCCTCCCTCTCTTCTTCTTTTCCTTCTATCCCTTCATCCTGCTGTCCCTGTCTCCTTCCCACCTAAAATGTCGAAAGGCCTCAACATTGCCGGCTGAAGTGGAGGTAGGGAACTTGAGGGACCCTGAGCACCCTCACCTGTCCCTCGCCCACTCAGAGCTAGCAAAGCAGCTATAGATTCAGGGCAACTCTGGGGCCCCCACTGACCCCAACAATAGGGCACCCACGGCAGATGGGAGCCTTCCTCACGGTTGCACGGTGCAGGGGACAGTGCGATGCCCTCATGGCTCCAGCTGCGAATTCAATCCACACCTGCTGGCTGACAATTATGGAATCTGAGTCTGGCTCCACTGTGTTGAGCTGGCTGACCAGGAACTATTCATTCAAGTGGGAATAAGGGCTCTGCAGGCCTTCACCCTTCCGCGGTAGAGTGCATTCTCATCTCTGCCGCCAGGGGGAACCCTTGCAAACAGGCTTCCATTGTGTCCACCTCCAATGGCTCCCACCTCCTATGTTTGTTGAATGAACAACTTAACAGAGATGTTTTTGCAAATAAAATACAATTATGTTACTTAAGAATTCCATTTGTCCCAAGCTTTGCAGATGCACAGCTGTCTGAACGGTTGGTGTTTCAATTACATCCCGCTTTCTCTGTTGCGGCCTTTACGAAGTGGACAGCGGCAGGAATAGAAGGAAGCTAATCAGGGTAGAAAGCGAAATAGGATTATCCGAGCAGATGTTGATCTTCGGGGGTAAGATGTGGTTAGCACTACCCAGGACAGGGGAAGAGGCAGCGTGGTCCAGCCAGATGACCAGGTCCTGGGACATGCCCCCAACTTGGAACCTTAGCTCTGTCCCTCACGATCTCTGTGACCTTGGCAAGAATCCGATTCTTCATCTGTTAAGAGAGAAATGCAATGTCCACCTCCGACACGTGAGGATCACGAGCGATGGTGTGCACATGTCAGCGGGCCACTCCGGAGGGTCACTCTAAGTTCAGGTGATGCTCTTGACTTCGAATCTTCGATCGCTGTGCCCATGAGGTGGAGATGGGGGAGTTGCTTTAGGAATCAACTCCCGACTTGGAATCTCAGTGCCTCGTGCGTAGTGGGAGACGGGACGCGACC